GGCGTACTTCTCAGCCTCCTCAACCATGCGCTCAATGTCTTCCTTGCTGAGACGGCCCTTGTCGTTGGTGATGGTGATGGATTCACCCTTACCAGTGCCCTTGTCGATAGCGCCGACCTTGAGGATACCGTTGGCATCAAGCTCGAAAGTGACCTCAATCTGGGGAACACCACGGGGCGCGGGAGGGATGTTGGTAAGCTCGAACTTTCCAAGTTGGTTGCTGCAGACATAGGTTAGCAAATCGATCTTTGTAGTGGACATGCAATGGCGCGGTAGATACTTACTTGTCCTTTGTCATGGCTCGCTCTCCTTCGAATACCTGGATCAAGACTACGGGCTGGTTGTCGGCGGCGGTGGAGAAGATCTGGCTCTTCTTGGTGGGGATGATAGTACCACGCTTGATAAGAGTGGTCATGACACCGCCAGTGGTTTCAATACCGAGGGTAAGAGGGTTGACATCCATGAGAACGACGTCGCCGGTGGCGGCGTCACCGGTGAGAATACCACCCTGAACAGCAGCGCCGTAAGCGACAGCCTCATCGGGGTTGACATCCTTGCGGGCCTTCTTTCCGAAGTACTCCTCAAGCATGGCCTGGACCTTGGGAATACGAGTGGAACCTCCAACGAGAACAATGTCGTCGATTTCGCTCTTCTTCATCTTGGCGTCCTTGAGAACCTGTTCAACGGGCTTAAGGGTCTTCTTGAAGAGGTCGTTGTTGAGCTCCTCGAACTTGGCGCGGGTGAGGGTCTCGGAGAAGTCCTTGCCCTTGAAGAAAGACTCAATCTCGATCTTGGTGGTCTTCTGGGAAGAGAGAGTACGCTTGGCCTTCTCAACCTCGCGCTTCAACTTGGACATGGTCTTGGAGTCCTTGGTGATGTCGACGTCGTTCTCCTTGTTGTACTTCTTGGTGAAGTAGTTGATGACACGGTTGTCAAAATCTTCACCACCGAGATGAGTGTCACCAGCGGTAGACAGGACCTCAAAAACGCCGGATTCGATAGTGAGGATGGAAACATCGAAAGTACCACCACCGAGATCGTAGACGAGAACCTGGCGTTCCTTCTGGTCGGTCTGTGGTGCGTTAGCTGAGTTGCTCCAACGGAGGATGCTGATGTCTTACCTTGTCGAGGCCGTAAGCCAGAGCGGCAGCGGTGGGCTCGTTCACAACACGGAGAACATTGAGACCAGCGATAGTTCCGGCGTCCTTGGTGGCGGCACGCTGAGCGTCGTTGAAGTAGGCGGGAACGGTAACGACGGCGTTCTTGACAGGCTCGCCAAGGTAGCTCTCGGCCACCTCCTTCATCTTGCCCAGAACCATGGCGGAGACCTCCTCGGGGGTGAAGGTCTTCTCCTCGCCGTGAACCGCAACGGAAACCTTGGGTTGACCGCTCTTGTTGACGACCTTGAAGGGGAAGTGCTTGATGTCATTCTGAACAGACTTCTCCTTGTACTTGAGACCGATGAGACGTTTCTGCTCCACAGTCAGTATGCCAGCCTTGCAACAAGGGTATACGGGAGTGTACGTACGATATCGAAGATGGTGCGTTCGGGGTTGGAGGCGAACTGGTTCTTGGCGGCGTCTCCGACAAGACGCTCGTCATCGGTGAAGGCTACCCAAGAAGGTGTGATACGGTTACCTGGAGAGGACACATGTCAGTTTGGGTGTGTGAGATGGTCGAGCACGCAGACTTACCCTGGTCGTTGGTGATGATCTCAACCTTGCCGTTCTTCATGATACCGACACAAGAGTAGGTGGTTCCCAGATCGATACCGATGACGGGGCCGGAGACACCATTGGCGTCCTCCTTGATGGGCTCCTGGTCCTGGGCGTGTGCTGTCTTAGCCAGCATCAGACCGCCGACAAGGACGAGGAGGAGGTAGAAGGCAATGGACCATGTTGAGCGCTGGTTGGCGCCCCGCGAGCTTCGTGCCATTGTGATGTGTGTGTAGTCGTCAAGACTGGGGGTATGGCCTAGATGCCAGGTGCAAGTGCGGGCGTAACTCTCTGGGAGCTCGCAATGTGTGGAGTAGACGGGGCTCTCCGGGTATCGCTGGGAAAGAAACAAAAGGCGAGTTGCGGTGGTTGCAGTTGCAAGGTGAGTGGAGGAGGGAGGGCAAGTAGCGGTGGGCGGCTACTGTTATATGGACACGTCGTGGAAGTATTTCGAAAGAACACCTTGCGATCTCGAGGATCTTGCTCCGCAAACGGTCTAGCGCGCACCTCGCCCATGGCCCGTTCACTTTGCCCCAACCGCCCGCATCAGCCTCAATTTCACCTGCGTTTGACGCAGCTGGCTACAGGACACGTGTAGTTCGCTAGCACTGTGGTTTCACTGCGCCCGTGTAGCAGGTGTGACTCCGCGCTATGCAGACCTATAGGCCACAGTAGCTTCTTGTGCAGACGATGATGGGGAAGTCGCAGCTCCGTCGTTATCTGCTATCGTGCCTCTAGGCCAATTTACCCCTCCATCTAAGCGAACGCGAACATCTACAAACCTCGGTGCTCTACCATCTCAACGTCCAAGTCGCGAATCAATCCATCTGAATTGCAAAATCGCCGTTTCCTCCATGCGCGAACCCCAGCCAGTCTGAGTCGCTGCGTCGGTAATCTCGGACACGGCCCTCGTTGTCTGTCCCAAGTTCCAGGTGTCCTTCCGGTGGTCTTCCAGTCGCTAGGCAGACCGATCTACACGAGACACCGGCTCCACCGCACCGCCAACACCATTCACCTCGATGACTCCTTGGTCGATATGCAACGTTTCCTCAATCTTTTTGCCACGGGTGTGAACACGCTGCTTCAAATCTTCATAGCTGCCTAGCAGAAGGACGGATCAAAGCACCCTGCCCACCGTGCACAACCAATCACCATACTTGCACATGTGAAAGGACTCGCCTGTAGGTAAAACTGGCCTCTTTGAAAGCAAGAAGTGCGAAAAACACCATAGTGCGTTGTTTGATGCTCCATTCCGGAATAGCTTGAGATTTGCTCAAGAGAACCTTCGCGACCGTTCCCCTGTCCCACTCTGCCGATCAGCCGCTTCGCCGACACAACCATCGGAACTCGTCACCAGGCCTTTGCCAAAGTCTCCCTGAAAGTACTCAGTATCTCAGCCCACCGCGCACCAGACCTGCTCTTCCACACAGCCAGACCGAGAACGCCGACACCCAGGGCGGAGGGTATCGCCTTCTTGGCAAACCTTGTCGCAACGTGTCTGAAAAACATGTCCTGTTTCTGCCTTACCCGCTTCACATGCTCGTCTCTCTTGTTCTTGACAGGGAATGGCTCCTCTGGCACCTCTTTCTCGAGGAACTCGCATAGCGGCTTCCAGCCATCCTCCAAGCGGAACTCGAGCAAGCGCTCGGCAGGCACCGCAGCACGGATTTCTGCATAGTGTTTCCTATATCGATCCTTGGCAACCCGCCGCATCTCATGCACATTACGCACGCCATAGAAGCCCAGCATGATCTTGCGAATCGTCTTGCCGCCATTGAGACCGTACAGTGGTCCCAGTACGTTGATCACGAGATCAGCGCGAAGCCCCCATGTCGTGCTGAAGATGGCCGCCTCCATACTGTCGTACCACTCGTCGATATCACGTTCCACCAAGATTAGCTTCGCCTCGGGATAGGCTTCTATGAGCTGCGTCGCGAAGAACGAGCTCATGTCGGTGACGGCCTCATAAGGCCCAAAGATAACGTCCCAATCGGCGCGTGTGAAAGGTGCGCCTGTATAGGTCGGCAGCGAAGGGTAAAAGGCATCGCATGCTTTGCTGAAGAACTCCCACTCAATTGGGGAACTAATGGCCTGGATGCCGTGGTGCACGCCTTGATATCCGAGAATCTCGAGAGCTTGAGTAATGGAGGCCGACCCTACCCTCGCTTCAGTCAGCTTCTCCCGACGGCTGTAACAATAGCAAAAGCAAACGTTGGAGGAACCCACCAGTACGCGTCATCCCCAATGAAAACACCTTCAGCTCTCGCTTTGGGCGGTCGGCAATGGAGGTTGGTGTTGCCATGGCTTAGACCAAAGCTGGTCTCAATCACGCAGAATGGCCGACGAGTGAAGATGGTTGGGAGTGGGACAGAAGGTGATATTTCTTGACCATTGTAAGCTCGGCAGAGAGGTGACTATCCCAACTTGCTGCCCACCGTGGACCGTGGTAAACATTCCATACTCATCTACTGGACCGCCTACCACGTGGTCAAAGGAGTGGTCATCTTACTTGCCGCTGTCTAACTCAAATGTGAGCGCCGAAGAGCGCCCACTGCTATCAATACGATCTACCGGTAGACCCCATCCTAGTTCCAACACGCTCGGGCCGAAGTGTAACGGGCCGAGTAAAGTGCCACTGCAAACGCATCGCGCATAATTGGTCTACACTCCAAGAGTACAACGGAACACGCGCAACCAACATCCTGGCTTGGTAAGAATGTTATCGAAAAGACAGGCTTTCTGCTGTCGAATCACATGAGGTAAATCAACGATATCCGGATCTGATACACGCACACACATCATCACCCGTATTCACCGTATTCACCGTATTCACCGTACAGGGCGTACTTGGCCGTCATGAGGCCTACGCAAGCGTTCTGTACACTGTTCTGACGCTGCCGGTATGCATAGCCTTATAGATTTACGTGCTGATACAACAGATGCTCAATCAAGTTCTGACTACCGCTTCGGCCTGATGGAGACCATGAGCGGCTTCTTCTCCCAGACCAAATACGACTTTTGTGTGATCCACCACTTCTCACTGTTTGGGCTGAGAGAGATGTCAAAGTTCCAGAAGAGCTTAGCCAAAGCCAGTCTCATCTCATTCATAGCCATACTGGAAAACCATGAAGTCAGCAATCGTTCCACCGATACCGAAAAGGGAAAGAGAGATCTTACGTTTGTCCAATGCAATCATGTCTACCATAGGAGAAAGGACGAGATGCACCTCGGTCATCACGAGCAAACTCCCCATCTTTCGTCTGCAGCCACCTCTCTGGGATAAAGTCAAGAGGCCGATGCCAGTTCCATGGAGCGTGACAGGCTGAGAGATTGTGCACGCCTACAGCTGTCTGTTGGTCGACTAGTCAGTACAAACTCGCCACGGCCGAGACGCGAACAAATACTTACACCTCCCGGTACCCATTTTCCATCTATCTCCTCTCCACCCTCTGGAACCCAGCGCGGCAAAGCTGATGGCGTAGGCGGCGATACACGCATCGACTCCTCGATGCAGGCCTTCAAGTAAACCAGCTCACCAGCAGCAACCATGGTAATCTCCTCTTCGCTCGCAAACCTACCCCGCACCTCGGCAATGACCTTCTTATAAGCGTCCGAATGCCCACAAACGAAGAATACAAATGCGCTCATCGTATAGGTAGTCGTGTTACTGCCCGCCACAATCAACGCGCTCGCCATACCAAAAAGATCCATGTTACTCAAATTCTCACTCTCGTTACCAAGGATGTAGCTCATGAAATCCCGTCTCTTCCCTTTTCGGGTGCCAGCGCGCTCCTCATCAATCCGTCGCTGTACCTTTTGGAGGGTGAGTGTTTGATGCCGCTTCCGCGCCTCCATGGCCGCTTTGGGTGCCGTCCATTTGAGTATCCACTCGATATGGTAGTACGTAGCGAGTTGATACCAAACAATGCTTTTGACGCGCGACCCAATAACGTCAAGCCAGGGCTCATCGGCGCGGTCGAGACAGCCGGCTGGTTGTCCAAAGGCCAGGTCGCTCATGATGTCGAAACTCAACAGGCTGAACCAACGGAGGATATTCTGCTCTACAGCATGATATTGCGGTTTCCGTAACTGAGCAACAAGCCGATCAGTGTGGTCCCGAAAGAAATCTTCTTGATCCCGCAAAGCGCGTTCACTAAACGCTGGCTGAAGCGCACGCCGTAGTACGGCATGGCGCTCAGGCGTCTCGGTAACGATACTACGACGACCGTTCACGACCGCAGGAGCGATTCCACGGCCATCCAGACACTTTAGAAATTCGCGTGGTGGGGGTGAGCCGTCGATCTTCTTCAAGGCTGTGCTGCTGGTGTAGGATAGCTCGTCGGGTGCGATGCGTATCACGGGGCTGTTGTAGTAGATGTGCATGTCGCGGATGCGCCATGCGAGGTCGCCGCGGAGGTTGACATAGTGCCAGGGTAGGCGGGAGATGGCCCAGAGTTTGGGGCCTGGGAAACGTGAGAGGGGGTGGAGGGTGAGGTAGTAGAGGGAGCGGAGGAGGAAGTAGAGTATGGGCTGTGCGCGGTTAGGATATAGGAGCTTATTGAGGGTATCAGAGGTGCTAACGTACACTTAGGAAGAAGAGAAGGGCTATAGTGAACAACATCTCGGCGTTGAGCTTGGTGTTCGCTCGTTCTGGTTCTTCCGCTCAAGTCTCAGACAATGAGCTTCATGGCCGCACACTCAAGGTAGTGGCATCGACACATATCTTCTTTCTTGTACGTAAAGCGAGCCAATCACTTCCACCTCGATTGCTGATTCTCTTTCGTTCGTAGGGTAGTTCTGGTATCGTTGCCATCGTCGCAGATGTAGCAGTCGACGAGCCAATGGGAGTAAACGTACATCCACGTGGCTGATCGACTTACTGTGAGCGTCTGATCTCGAATGTGACTCCACTCGTTGTTCTCGATATTGTGACCCCACGCGGCTCCTGCTCTCGGCGCTACTAGTACTTCGATCCCGCATTCGGTCCGGCCTCGTTAGTGACGCCTAGTCGCCGTTGATCGTTGTACTGACTCGGGAGCTGCATGGCATCGTTACGAGGGCGGTGTTGATGGAAGAGGAAAGAACGAGGGCTCAGCGTATATTCTGTCATGAGCGTTGGAGTTCTAAGTTAGGAGAGGTCGAGAGAACACAGCACGTGACTACACTCACACTGGCACCACCATGCAAGAATTGAGCCACAGTTGAGTCAACCAATGAAAATGACGCATCAGTACAGCTCGTCTAAAGCAACCACAGTCTACTCAACAGCAACCCTCAATCTACACAAAACCGCCTCCTCCCTCTTTACTGGACTCCCTGGACTGCACACCACCGTAAAATTATGCCAATCCCTCTCTAAATCCACATCCAGTCCTTCAATAACATCATACCTCTGCAAGATCCTCACAATCACATACCCCGCCTCGGTAAGCGCAAACTGCTGCCCAATACAGATACGAGGGCCCCCGTTGAACGGGACGTACTGCCACGTCGACCCCGGTCTCCTCTTCTCCCAGCGTTCAGGTACGAATTCGTCGGCGTCTTCACCCCAGAGATCTTTCCGGCGGTGCAGGACGTGCGTGCTAAAGTTTACTTCTGTGCCGGCGGGGACGAAGATGGGGAGGGTGCCTGAGGGGCCGCCGCCAGTGGGGAGCGTGGTGTCGCGGATGGCGCAGCGGGAGTTGAAGGGGACGACGGAGTGGAGGCGTAATGTCTCGTTAAGAATATGTTGTAGATAAGAGCAGCTCTTGAGTTTCTCGAACGTGATACTCTGTCCAACGATGGTACTTGTGTAAGATCCAAATTCCGCCAGAATGACTTCACGTAGCTTGTTGTATACTCGTGGGTTCCGCACTAGACAGTAGAAAACCCATGATGTAAGTGATGCCGTCGTATCCCGACCTGCGGCTAGCAGACCGAGAACTTGCTCGCGGACTTCAGCGCGGTCGGCACAGCGCGATCGCAGTGTTTCGAGGAAGTCGTAGCGGAGCGACGAAGAACCCTGTTTTCTCGCTTGGTCTGCGGCATCGATAGCGCGGTCGACGAAGGTGTGGAGAGTGTTGATGCATTTGTTTAGTTCGGTGTTGCCGTAGAGCCAATAGAAGCTTCGAAGGCGCATCCTGATTCCGAGGATGGTCAACATGCGCTCGAATGCGTGGTCGAAGCTTTCTTCATCGTGCTGGTCTGTGTCACTGTCCTTCGCTTTCTGGTCTTCCGCGAGCAGCGCATCAAGCGACCCCGTACTCATCCCCAAAAAGAACTCCGTCGCCGAATCCATCGTCAGCTTCGGTAACAACGCCGCCAAACTGACCGGTGCTGACCACGCTCTTCCTTCCTCATCAACCCTCAAACCTCCCTCTTTTTCCTCAATAACTCGTAACAAACTTCCCACATGCCCCTCCAACACCTCCAGCCGACTCACATTCTCCCTACTAAAAAGCGGCCGCATAGTCTCCCTGGCCCGATGCCAAGCCACCCCATCAACAGCAAAAATGCTGCGCCCCAGCGCCCGTTTCAAATTCGTGCGTCGAGCTGTGCCCATGATGAAGTCGTCGAATTGCGTGGCGAGTAGGGCTTGGATGTTGCGTGGCTCGGCGGTGATGAGATTGGTGGTGCCGAGCAGGGATATCGCCCATGTGTACCGGTTCATGGCCATGAAACGGGAGAAGACGAAATCGGGGGTGCGTTGCTCGCGGTCGGCGAGGAGACTGCGGCGGATGGTGTCGATGCCGAAGGGGAGGTGGTAGGGCTCGACGGGGACGGGACCGCATCCTAGTTGACGGCTTTTGATGTAGTCGCGGAAGGGCTTGATCACGAAAAGGTTAGCTATGTGGATGAGGAGCAGGAAGCCAGCTCCTAGTATGAAGAGGTGAGTTTGCATGTTTCTGTGTGGGTGCTTCTGTAATCGAAGCTGCGTTGATCTGACAGTGCGCCACTCTCAGTTTAAATATGCTACCGAGCTATTCATCCTGACGCACCAATCTTGACCCACGTGCATAACACTAAGCAGGGGATGGTTATCCAGTCGAGTTCCTGGATTCTGAGCTGGAAACCGCGCGCTTGGCGTTGCTTGTGGGAATGGCCGGGAGCGAGTCATTGCGTTTACAGTGCATGTGCGATCATGATCGCATCACGGTTATATTTTCGATACCTCGCTATCTACATCGCTATACGCAAGGCATATACATCAAAAACACCTGCATGGCTTCATCCTCGGCTGCTGTTATCCATTCAGATCAGACACAGGCGTTAGCTGGACCATCAAAGGCAGCTTCTCCCACACCAAGTAAGTGCCCTGCTTGTTCCACCAATCGTTACCAGGATCATAAAGTTCCCAATCAAAGAACCGTACCAATTTCGCCATCGTAAGCGACATCTCGGCATAAGCCATAGATCGTCCGATACAAGCCCTCTGACCGTAGGAAAACGGCTGAACAGATGAACGGTCATCGTCCTTGAACTCTTCGGGTGCGTCATCTAACCAGCGTTCCGGATGAAACTCACGAGCCTTCTTGAAGTTGCGCTCAGAGTGTCCGGCTGCCAGCTGATTGACAGCAACGGCATAACCACCGGGAACCCATTTGCCCTCAATCATCTCACCCTTTCCAGGAACGAAGCGTGGTAGTGAGCCTGGGGTTGGTGGGTAGAGACGCATACCCTCGTTGAGGCAAGCGCGCAGGTACTTGCAGCTCGTCACCGCTTGGAGTGTCATGTCTGCGCGGTTCTTGAACAGGCCACGTATCTCTTGCTTGAGCTTCTCGAGTTTATCTGGGTTACGCAGGAGAAGGTATGTCAAGCCGGACATGCCGCCTGCCGATGTGCCACTGCCAGCTACGATGAAGTTGGAGGAGAGCATGACCAGTTCAAGGTGGTTAAGCTTCTCGTCGTTCTCGAGGATGTAAGACCTGATCAGTCACTGAGTCAGTAGTGTTTCGACTGGGTAATGAGTCGATCGAGCTTACATGAAATCCTTCCCAGGGTTCTTGGCTTCGACACGCGCCTTCAACTTGGCTTCTGTCATCGCGATGTGCTTCTTCCTTGACTCGGTGACGTATTTCGGGGTCATCCAGTTGAGCAGACCCATGAAGCCGTACTGTACGGCAAGCTGGAACCAGACGATAGCCTTTGCGCGAGCGAGAATAGCTTGTATCCACGGTTGCTCAGGGTTGTTCACGCAGCCTGATGGTTCGCCGAAAGCCAGGTCGGATACGATATCGAATGCGACGAGGTTGTACCATGTAGTCATGTCGACGGGTCCGTCTTTGCTTCGTTCCTTCAGCTTTTGGACGAGGTTATCCGAGTGGTCTTGGAAGTAACTCTCTTGTTCGCGACTAATATGAGATCAGTATTGTCATACCATGCCTGCATCTCGATGCATAGACTCACAGCGCTCTCTGACTAAAAGCCGGATCGATAGCTCTTCTCAACCTCAAGTGTCGATCTTGATGCTCAGTCATCAAGCTGCGTTGGCCACCTATACTCGCAGGCGCGATACCTCTACCGTCGAGAGCCTTCACAAACTCAGGGTTTCGCTGTCCGTATATCTTCTTCCACGCTCCCGAAGTCGTGTAAGAGAGCTCATCAGGAGCGATACGCACAACAGGGCCGTATTTGTCGTGAAGCTCGCGAATCTTCCAGCTGATCCGACCCTTCATGTTTGCGCGATTCCATGGTAGACGAGAGATGGCCCAGAGCTTCGGGCCCGGATAGCCAGCTAGAGGACTGAGATAGAGGTTGTATACGACCTTGAAGAAGACGTGTAGCAGGATCTGGTAATCTTTGTGAGCTCATGCAGAAGCCAAATTAGGATTCGCGTAGACTTACAAGCACGAAGATACCGGCGGTGATGTTTCGCAATGTCAGCGATGGCACTTGGCGTAATTGTTGCCATAGGCTATCTGGTATGAAAGCAGTAGCCATGATGTTGTGAAGTTGCCAAACTGTGACGAAACTCAGAGCCTGCGGTTCGAAAGCCGGGGGATGAACAGCTCAGCCTTCTCCAGCTCATCGCCCCGTTGAACGCTCAAACTGCCGGAGGCCTCTACCCCGACGTGTTCGATCCATGCGGCATTTGGCAAAAACCTCTAATTCCCTTACTATCGCCAAACGTCGCACTCGCCGACCGATATGCAGACCAGAAGTAACCAATTGCATCCCCTCCATTACGCACGCTCTGCTACAGTTGGTGTTTAAAGAGATTGAAGTTTTCCGCGGTGAAGATACGAAGGTGAGCTCAGGTGACCCGGACTTTCATTCGGCCCTTGGTTGTCGGGCCGATCCTCCCTCCGAAATGGCTTGCAGATAGTCGGCTGTGCGCATGCAATTGTGGATACTGGCGGGAAACATGGATTTGCCAACGGTGCGCAAACGATTATGTGCAGCTGGGCCACGTGTTTGGGGTGAATGGTGGAAGCTTGACCACGGGTACGGAGAAAAATGACTCGTGATTACAACACGGCGATACAGTGTAAGGTGGAGCATTTCTATACCCCTGTTGATCTGGAAAGATGCCAGTTCCTCTTACGTAGCCTCCAGCACGCGGTATCGTTGGATTGCTGGCCTGTCAATGTGTCCAAGAGATGGGCTGTGATGACGAACTGATGGTCTGCGGGTAGCTGAGCATCTCGTTGTACGAAACACCATCTCTTTTCGGTCTTGACGTCTCTCTTTGGTATCGCCAGTCAACGCGGTAACATCTGTATTACCAAAAAAAAACATGGATAACCAACATGGCTCCGACGACGCGCTTGCCTCGTTGGCAAAGACAATCCGTGCCGAGCTTCAACAGAAGCTTTCCAGCGAAGCGCGCATCCATCTGCCGTTCGACGAGGACAAGACAGGCTTCGACAAGGGCAACCTTCGCTTCACTCAGTACGAGCGCCCAACATACCTCGCTGTCGTCGATCCAGGTTGTGAGAACGATGTAGTCGAGGTCGTCAAGTATGCGCGGGAGAAGGGTATTCCATTCACACCCCGTGGTGGTCACCATGCAGTCACTACCACGATGAGACATTTTAAGAACGGTATATGCATCAACATGCGCCCACTCAACCACATGCGATGGGATGCTGAGAAGCGGCATGTTACCGCCGGTGGTGGAGCGATCACTGATGAGTTCGTGCGCTTCGTGCATGATTTGGGTATGGAAGTTAGTAAGTGTAACAAAGCCTCTAGTGCCAGCCAAAGTACTTACAAAGCTGAAAGATGTGGGATCGTGTCCTACGACTGGTGTCATTGGTGTAGCCTTTGGTGCAGGCCTTGGTCGTTTGCAAGGCAAATATGGCTTTCTAAACGACAACATGATCTCGTGTAAGCTCGTACTCGCCGACGGAAGTGTGGTAGTCGCATCCAAGGACTCGCATCCGGATCTGTTTTGGGCCATTCGTGGCGCAGGCCATAACTTTGGTATCGCAGTCGAGGTCACGTTCCAAGTCTATCCGCAGCCGCACGGAGGTATACACCATACTTGGGATCTGGAGTATACATTGGATCAGTGCGATGCGGTATTTGAGACGCTGAATAGCGTCTACGAGACTATGCCCGCGGACTTGGCAATCTTCGTCCTATGGTTGCGCCAGAGCAGCGGTCGCAAGGTAGGTCGCTTAACGAGTAAGGCATCCACGCTGCTAACAAGGTCCAGCACATCATTCTTGTCAACCTAGTCTGGTCTGGTCCAGCTGCGGGTGCAGACCCCTATGTGCAGCGCTTCGAGTCCCTGGACCCAGTCTTGATCACCGGGCGGAAGTCCGTGTCATGGCCAGAGCTACCGTTCACCACCTACAAAGAGATAAACAAGCTCTTTTGCAATCCCGAAGTCTGGCTCCGAGGCCCCTATAAGATGATGGGCGCAGCCTGTGTCGATAAGTTTGACCTCAAGACGACACGCGAGTTCTTTGAGAGTGTCAAAGCCATGAGTGAGGAGTGGGAGGACCGCGGCTGGTTCAGTGCCATGTTCGAATGCCTGCCTGACCAGCGTGTTCGCGAGATTCCCGACGATGCGACAGCCTTTCCGTGGCGCGGAGGTTCGAATCATTTCCTGTGAGTGTACCAAACTGGTCCCTCTACGAAGCAAGTTCTAACATATGGGATGTAGTATGCTGAATGCAACACCAAAGCGACTGGAAGACCGCAAGGTTTTCGAGGACCATCTCAACTACTGGAAGCAACGTTTCGTCGAGACGTCTGGATACGGCCGTTTGCAACAGTATGTGAGCTATGGTAATGGCACGGCGACCTTGAAGGACCTGCCTGAAGCACTATATGGCTACGAGCCCTGGAGGTTGGAGAAGCTCCGGCTTCTCAAGCAGAGATATGATCCTGACAATGCGTTTCGATGGTACCAACCACTCGTTGAGTCATGAAGTACCTACTGTAGATCTTTGGAGCAGCATCCAACGCAGACATAGCTTACCAATGATGTTGTTTGATGAAATACCGTATTTAGCAACATGATCCTGCCTGCGCCTACGCGCGGGCCTTTAGACATGGTGGCGGCACCCTTGGTGTACCTGTGAGCGTTTTGAGATATTCGATAGCTTAGCAGATACGATGCCAACTCGCTGTTGAACAGTAAAAGGCCGCGTGCGTACACGTGGGCATGAAGAGTGGCCTATAGATGTTGCTAGAACTCCGAAATCTGGCCAAATCATGGGCGCAGTAGGGAGTGGGTACTCTGGCGCATTGTGACCCACGCTGGACTTCGAAGCGAGGACAACAGCAGTACGATCTGGGGAAATATCTGAAGCCGACGCTAATAATTCTCCGATTAAAAGGGCCTTCGGTGGGTCGGAAAAGTCTTGGGGAGTCTTGTTTAGAGTGGTGGAGACACACCTGAGTCGTGGCTTCGGTTACCCTGGTCGCCTTCAGATCTTGGGAAGATAGTCGAACACGTTCACCTGTATCGGGGAAACAACATGCTGCGTGCTCGAACAACACAGCGGTATTGGATAGTTTCGTCGAGATGTTTGACCGGCTTCATATCGCTCCTGCCTAATTGCAGTCCGGATGCGTGGGCTTGAGAACGGTGATCGGGCCATTGGGACGCGAAACCTGCAGGATTAGTAGATGAGAGTCTCATGAGACGTCTGGAAAGGATATGTACCTATAGCCTTCACAGTAGGCTTTCGCGCCAGGTCTCTTCATACCTACCGCATCACACATCTGTGTGCTACTTCCCGTAATTCTTCTTCCTATCTCCGAGCTGCCACCACACAGCTGTCTACCATCTCTCATAGACCCCCATCCTCTTCAAGCAGTCACAATGAACAAGCCAATCGCCATAATCGGTATCTCTTTCCGGGGTCCAGGCGATGCTCGCGACCCCGAAGCCTTCTACCGTATGCTCGTAGAGGGTCGCAGCGCACGCACCGAGATCCCCAAAGACCGTTACAACGTCGACGCTTTCTACCATCCCGATCCAGAGCGGTTAGGTAGCATTCAACAAAGGTAGGCTCAATCTGTTGTCCTGCTCAAGTCGTTGACCATACTGATGTGCTGTTGCGACAGACATGCGCACTTCCTGGAACAAGACTTCAAGGTGTTCGATGCACCTTTCTTCAGCATCACGCCGAAGGAAGCGAAGGCCATGGATCCGACACATCGCATTCTACTGGAAGCCACGTACGAGGGCTTCGAAAACGCCGGCTTGACTCTGGAGCAAGTCTCAGGCACACAGACATCCTGCTACATCGGAACCTTCACAGCAGACTTTCCCAACCTGCAAGCCCGTGATAACGAAGGGCCTTCAATATACCGTAAGTGATCCAGTCCATATGATGTTGGTCCAAGCTAAGCCTTCTCTGCAGACGCGACTGGCATGTCAGCATCTCTAGCCTCCAACAGACTATCGTGGTTCTACAATCTGCGGGGGCCTTCACTGACAGTCGACACGGCCTGTTCATCAAGTTTAACAGCATTCCATCTGGCTTGCCAGAGCATCCGCACAGGCGAGGCTGAGATGAGCGTGGTTGGTGGTGCCAACCTGATGTTCGGACCGGACATGTCCATCCTCCTGGGCGCTGCCAAGATTCTGTCGCCTGAAGGCAAGAGCAAGATGTGGGATGCAGACGCGAATGGTTTCGCCCG